AGACATACAAGAGATAAACAGGCACATGAAGACTACGTACACACACTCAAAACATACACACTCACGATACATAAACAAACGCCAAGGCTGCATCATCAAGCAGAAATATGGTGTTTCAGACACAGCTGTGCATATTTCTATTTTCTCACACACCTGTGGCAGTGTGTAAGATATTGAGCAGAATAGAATAGAATCATATGTCAGCAAACAACAGAACATGAACATTAACCATATGTGATATGTGGTGTAGCAACACACAACCTCCAAAACATATAGTACAATTTCAATGGTCAGCTTCTCCACTTTGGTTGAAAGTGTGCTAATCAGCGAGGTGAGTTTCTGCGTTCGGGTTGAAGACAGTGTAGAGGTACGATGGCAAATGATGAAAGAGCCATTGCTATAATGAATGGTATTTGATTGCATCAAAGCTAATAATAGCCTGTGCTGCACTCTACATTGACGTTTAGTAATTGAAGAATGATGGTAGGACGTACTTCTGTATGTTTGACCTCTGCTGATGAACAGCGCCAGGAGCTTGCATGATATCACAGGTGTTGGATTAATGACACTCCGCTTAGAAGAATACAATAAATGCCATAATCATAGTTCTCATATTGAGTTTTTCTACACTGTGTCTATTCAGTGTGCTTGAGCTTTTCCATTTGGACAGTTAGGCTGAGACATGTAGATCTTATATCCCATCCTTGTGTTACACTAGCTGGCATGTTTGCACTGAAGACAAACTGCTGTTAATCCTGTTGTTATTTATAGCTGTAAAATCTTGCTCGCCAATAACAGCTAGTTAGTGATTCAATGATTACTTTTTATTGTTTTTTTTCACGTGAAGCATAAACCTGGTTTTACTGACATATAAATAAACAGTGGATATCAATAAAGTTTTACTTACTTTATTTGGGCTGCTGTTCCTAGACAAAGATTTCTGCGTCCCATCATTGCGGGTTACATCGTTTTGCTCATAGGTTTGGAAATAAGTCGGAGCAAAGGAAACCACCTTAAGTCTTATGAAGACTATGACTTATACCTATCGACTTGAAGACTATATTTGATGTCTTCCTGCTCATGCAATCACATCACAACCAGTGCATTTATGTGTATGCTAATTAACTAGTTGCATCAGCCAGGTGGAGTTTACCCTTGAGGTCACAATCCCCTAATTAACATTTTATTATTAAATATAATTAGCTAATTTTATCCATGCTTGCCCTTACTGTGCAAATTTGATAAATGACGTTCATTTCGACTGTACTGTTCGTTTTGATTATAATGACATTAAAGCTTTTCGATGTATGTAAGTGTTGAAATTGTATTAAATGGTGGGACTGCTAATGACGGTTGAATCAATTCACCACCCTTTTGGGTCCAAAGAGGTTGTGTGTTTAGAGTTCTGAATCTCTTCCTGGTGTAGTTGACACCGATATGCCCGCGCCATGAGTAGTCAATGACCAGATCCAATGTCGATGAGGCTGATGCGGTAGTGCGGGGGCAGGTTTCCTGGAAAACCAGACAGTTGTGTAAGAAGGCAGAGCAACCCACTCCAAGTGATTTATAAAGAGAAATAAACAAGACGGGAACAAAGAGTGCAAAACAAATCCACAAGTCATACACGCTCTACAAAATCCATATCCAAACTCTTTTTGGCTATAAAAGAAATACATGATTATCGGATTCACCTACAGTAGATCCAACTGACCGAGATATTGCTCGCTTGGAAGAAACACACAATGTCAGTGAGTAACCGCACGATAAGCAAGCAGCAGGGAAAGGAGACACACAAAACTCAGGCAAGATCTCTCTTCCATCTCTCTCTAATACGTTTATACCTCAACCAGACTGAGGTTCAGTTGTTTTTACAATTTGAATTTCTTTAAAAGTATGTTGGATCTCGGCTTGATTGCAGAAACTCCGATATCATAACCAAAACAGTTGGTTGAACCAAAAACTGGTCACTTTTTCAGGTTCGTATACTGCCCGACACACTTTGTGTAAGATGGTGAACCACTGGTTTAAGTCCCAAGCTGTAAACTCGTTCTGCTTAAATTATCATAGGAAGTCAGAACATGGAGGAAAAATTAAATAACTCAAGTGCATAATGATTACAAGAGAATATATACGTCTGAAGGACAATTACAAACATAGTAACAGAAATTAATATGATTCGTCACAATTTGGCTTTAGGGAATACATGAGTCGTTCTCAGTGAGGTTCAATGCAGTGTCCTGATGTGAAGAAGAAAAGGAAGAGAGAAGTAATGATCATCATTAGACCTGGAAGGAGGGGCAATTGCATAGAGAGACAACGGACCAGCTATTAACACAAGGAGGATCATTATGAGAATAGAAGTCGCCTTCGCATGAAGACTAATAAATGAGAGTTCAATACTCGCTGCTCCTCTCTCGTGGCCCTCAACGATGCCACCGCGAGAGTGTGTCAGTCATTATCCCTGACCCTAGCGTGTTTCCGTTGAATTACCATTCCTTCACATAGCTTTACACTACCTTTCATACCATCGGTGCGAGCCGCGTGCGGCACCATCAAGAATGACTCTACGTATCGTCCTAGTCCCACTGTTGCAGTCGCTAGCCTGACTTCCATATCCCAAGATCCAATTCATTGGGCCAGCACAGGACAGCACGTCGCT